AACTAATAACCGTAGGTACTTAACATTTTCATAAAATGTTTATTTTATAATTATCTATACATTTGAAATTTTCAATTGTTTTAATTTTTATCCTGTAAATATCAATTAAGTGTTATTCGTTGAGTCAAAAAGTTTGAAAATGTAATTCGAGGTTAATTATATAAGTTGTTATAATAGCAATTGATAAATATTAAAGATCCATTTTTGCACAATCACGATTTTTTTATGAGTATTTAAAGTTCAAACTTTGACAAAATTTAACAAAATCTCGAAAGTTATCAATTATTGTAATTAAAAAATTATAAAATACTCCAATAATACTATATACACTGCCACACTGGGAATCTGGCAATAAAATGTCTCATTGGTAAGTACGCAGTAAGTTGGTACTAGCCACTAGGTGGTATCATAATGTTCTATATTACATTTGACTCTTTCTTAACATACCTTCCACCCATTCCAAATATTTTTAAATTAAGAATGTGCATTTCAGCAAAGATATGTGATTATAAATGGTTCGACCGACCGATGGTTTACTTAAAAATAATATGCGAGATATGAGGGGTCACAAAATAACAGATACAAAATAAAACTAAAATAACTGTAGAAAATAGTACCAAATAAAAACAAAATATATTGTATGTGCTGTTGATTCATAAAAATTTTTTCATATTAAATACGATTTTCATTTTGATTTGTATTCCATATTGACCACAGCGAATAATCAGCTGAAATTGTATTATCTCGAATTGAAATCCACATCGAGATGATATATTATGTAAAAAACAAATTTATAACATTTTTAAATCATCGTGATTTGAATCGACATTACTCTTTACATCCGTATTTAAAAGTTCAAATGCTCGTTAATCTTTTTTGATATATACCTATCCCACGAATATACGTTTTTTAAGCTTAGGTATATCGTGTCTCCAAGTCCTTAATACATTTATTTCGCTAAGAATTATGTGGTCTCTGCAAGGGCTTATAATTTATATTTTTATAACCTACCTATGAAAAAAAATCTCAAAAACTATTCGAAAATGTAGGAACTAAATCGTCTGGTACAACATATTCTCGAAACTTTTTTCTATGTTTTCAATATGAATTATGATTAATGTTGCATACATATGTAACACACCTGTTAATTGTGGTAGATAGTTCAAAATAATAATAATATAATTATAACGTATAAATTAAAATAGATATAATTTTTTAATTTTCTTTATAGTTTCTCTAGAATATGTTCGATACAAATTAATGCATTTAATATTTATAATAAAACAGTATATGACTATCCTTGGCTGGGGTGAGCGACGAGAGAAGAGTAACCAACTTTTGGGTCCAGGTGTATTATGTCCGCCTTTTTTAATAATAAATACTTAACTCTTAAGAGTTTTTGTAACTGAATTATTATCATATAAATCATAGGAATTACAAATTGCTATGTTGTATACAAAATATATACATGTTAAAAGTTAAACATATTTTTTACAACCAATAATTAATAAGTTTTATTAAAATTTGAAAACACATTTTTATATAAAATGTATTATAATAAAGTTGTATTTTGTCCTATACGACAAGTCGACAAATATGATGTATTCTATAGTCAGTTTTACATAGCGAAAAACCAAATGTTCATATATGTGTGTACCTATACTGTGTTAATTGCTTTATTAATCTTCGGTAAATTACAAAATCGATAGTTATAATTGAGCAAAATATTTCAAATTTGTATGGTTAAAAATGTATGATAAAATAGTTACTTAACAATTTATTTTAAACAATATAGTATTATATTTAGATCTTTAAATAAAAATTCAATAAAACACAAAAAAAGATTTTCCAATAGTAATTTTTACCAATCATGATTTATCGTGGTCGTTATGTCATAAAAATTAAATTTCTTATAATAAGCAATGTCAATGAATTTAATCTACTCGGGTTAATAATTTATCTACTATTAATAGTCCTATTGGTAGAACACAAACAATGTTTGTGAAGAATTGCAATATGGTTCATTTCTACCCTTATTGATAGCCGAAATAGAATTCAAATTAAACAGGTACGTATATACATAGTTATGTGGAAAGTTTACAACCAATGAAACAACTGATAGTTGAATATGCGCATTTTACTCACAATCACGCGGGACATTCAACTGTTATTGTGGCATAGTCATTCGCGTACTCCGTAGTCACAGGTAAGCACATTTTAACTTATTGTATATATTTTAGAACTTATAAATTCTGATGAATGATTATTTCGTTTAGCACCTATTTATAATTTCACTTCTAAATTTTGTTTCACATATTAAAGTTGTTTGATTAATTTAAATGTATTGCATATTTGAGACGAGTACTAGCATAATATATTTTTATTTTTTTGGTAAAATGTCAGCGTTGTACTCATATTTACAAATCGGAGTTTTAACTCAATAAATATTACATTAATATATTAGTTTTATTTTTAACTATTTCAGCACCACATAATTACCTAGGTACTTATAACAAACTAATATACTAATAGTATAAGGATTCACATTATTGTTTGTAAGTTAATGCTGTGATAAATATGCATGTAATTTAAAAAAAAATGAATCAAACTCTTTTTTTATATTTATAAATCAAATTTATTTTATAATTTAACAAAAAATATATATGTATAATTAAAACATATCACAATTAAACTGCTCTGTTAATTTTTAATTAGTTTTTAAAAAATATTATAATAATTATTTATTATATTAACATAAAGGTCTTAAATATACATTCATAGTTAACTAAATATTTCTAGTGAAAGAACATTTTTTTTTAGAAACTTTTTTATAAATACTTATCACTTTGAAAAATTAAATATTAAAATTTTTTTTTTCTATTAAGAATAGACAGCGGAGGTCATTAGACTGCAAATGATTTAAACAATTAATTATGATTTCAATTTTGATTATTCTGTAATTGTTTAATAAATATATTACCAATCTGTATAGGAACACATTATATAATTACTAAAATTCCTATAATATAATACTATGTTAAGTACTTAATATAAACTTAAATATATTGTATGGAATATAGATTGCTGCTAAACAATAATTTCTAATTACACAATTTAGAAGTTTCTTTGATTTCAAATTATATTGTATATTTATTTTTTTTATTATTTATTAAAAATTCTATTGGTTTTATATCTAACTAATTTGATTTTTTTATTTACAAAATATAATATTTAACCTTTTGACAGTTCGATTCTTACTAGATATATAATATTTATATTATTGAAGTTGAAATGTTGGTCATTAAAACCAATAGTTGATCCTTTAACTACCTACTTAATCCAGACAAAAGGTCCGCGAAATATGGTGTACACGTTTCTTAAAGATTTGCTAACTCATCATTAAACACAAAAAACATCACGAGTAGACGAAGATCGTATAAAATCAACAAAGGTATATAAATCCGCTACAAGAGCACTCGAAAAAAGTTCAATAGGAGAAAAGAAAGTCGGGTGCTCCTTGCTTATCCTCGAGTACGCCGGAATCGTGAATTTTGATTAAAAAAAAGTTACCAAATTACAATATACAAGTTTACAGATTACGGTCATGGGTTTGCTTTAAATTTACCATTTATTCGAATCGAACTACATGTATAATATAACAATAAATATATAATATACATGTAATTCAATATAGTATACTGGATAGATATATGTGTATAAATTATTCAAACTTGTTGAAGATTTAATAATGTTACAGTACAACATAGTAACCTATATGGCTATATTAAACTATGTTATTTGTCATGTATTATATAGAAATCGTATATATTAATCATAGGAATCAAATATTATTATGAATCAAATTGTATGTAACAAATTAATAAAAGTTTTTTTTATTTTTACCATAGTTGGCACAAACAATTACACTAGTACAGTGAATTATTAAGTGAATACATATTAATATATTTTGAGGTTTTAATCTTTTCTGTTATTGTGTTATAGTCTGTTATTGCTGTGATTTTGTAAAAATGTATTTTCTAAATCTAAAATAAGCGTAGTTACATTACTTAAACTTCGTAGTCGGTTGACACTCGACACTTCTGCTGTTTCAACAGTCGTTGTCTTTAGCTATGTAGGACGTAGGTAGTAAGTTAATGTGGAGCAATATTGTAGAAACAAATTTTAAGATTTTTTTGTCAAAATAAATAGCTATCTACACGGTACTCACTGATATTTTATTAAAAAAAAGATTTTTTTAATATCGGTCTAGTGATTTGGATTAGTTGAATTTACCGTATCGTATACGAAATAGGTATTTATCTATAAAGTATATTATGAAAAGTGTTTGAGGTTACACAATACGAAAAAATATATGTTGTAAAATTAATTTTCATATTCAAACAGTAATTTTTGGGAATCATATTGCATCGTTTAAACGTAATTTCGTTGATACGATAAGTCTTAAACAGTCATTCCCTAAAAACTAATAGTACAAAAGATATTAAGTATTAATAACTATTTATAGTTAACTATTTTTGATAATATTTACAGTTTAAAATTATTCAAAACGCAATACGTGCTATTAAAATGCCTATACAAGACGCCGTGCCGGTGTTGTTTGACATTTTTAAAAACAACTTAACGCCCTTAATAATAATTTTTCTTCGATTTCATTCAATGTTTGCTTTCTTAAGACATCTTTGTATTAGTTATGAATACATTTTCATAAAATATTATAACCTTTTTATTACAAGAGAATTTTTTAATTTTGTTTTTTTTTTCTCTTACAATTTGGATAGGTATATTGATTAATACAATTATTTTAAAAGTGTTATATTTGAATTACGTCAAATTACTATAAAATAAATAACTGACAAATTGTTTTATTTATTAAATGAAATAGACAATCCAATAATAAAATGTAATAATAACAATGTTAAACTATACATAAATATATTCATTTTTTTCATTACAGATTAAAATAAAGAGATTATTCAAAAATGAATAGGATGGCAACCAATATTCTGACTTCGTGTGATTCTAACTCATCTTATACTTTAATTACTTCCAATGGTAAGTATTGTAAAATTCAAACTACTTCAAGATATAACAAAAATAATTATGCAATACAATTTAAAAAAAATGTATTTTCAAGTAAATAATAAAACATTTTCTTATTATTTTTAACTGCTTAATTTGTAATAAATAAAAATACATTAGTATATATTATTTTATATACTATAACCAATAATTATTTCTCTGACAATTTTGTTTATTTATTGGATCATATAATAATAGATTATTGTTATTTATTATCATAATTATTTAAGTTGCAACATTGTCTATATCAGTGGTTCTCAACCTGGGGGGCGCGCCCCCCTAGGGAGGCGTGACAAAATTTCAGGGGGGGCGTGAAAATGTTGAAAAAAAACACGAAAAATGAAAACGTTGCCGTTTTCTACGCCGTGCCTTGCCGGTGTGTTGGTCGCCTCCGCGGTCGATCAGTAGATATACATTATACACCGAGCGATTATTACGATTTTATCGTATAACAATTACGGTATTAATAGAAGCATTGTTTCGGCGAAAAACCGCCACTCGACGCTATAAGAACAAGTTTTGGTGACCCATAAATAAATATTGCCAAACATAAAAAAATTTATTAAAAATAAACAGGGCCAACCCACTCATTAATTGTATATTTAATAATAGTTAATATTAATTTTAAATAATAATAATATTTTTTTTTTGTGCAAATAAATTCATTTAATATTAAAAAAACGTCATTGAAGTTGTATTCATATTAATCCAATAACCAACATTAAAGTATAGTTAACATATAAATGTTATGCATATAGGTATCAATATTATAGTAGTGAGGGGGGGAGGCGTGAACATATAAAATAGTTTGAAAGGGGGCATGGACCTCAAAAGGTTGAGAACCCATGGTCTATATAAAAATTATTAATTATATTATCTAATTACCTAAATTGGGTAGGTTTTTTTAATTCAATATAAGATTTATTTAGTATTGATTATTTAGTTTATTTTATGTTGTTTCAGATAAATTCTGTAATTGGTTTTATGATGAGAAAACGTGTTGGCCAATTGCAAAAGCCAACACTAATGTATCCCAACCGTGTCCAAAAGTACAAGGATTTGACAAAATGAGTACTTACTTACTAACATATTATTTTTAAATTTAGAATATAATGAATAACTGATTTATTATATATAATAATAATATAATATAATATAATATATAATAAGCAAATTGGCACATTATTATTCAAAATCTAGAACATTTTTTCTTAAACTGTTTAAATAAGCAAAATGTCTATAAATGCTATAATCATTGATTTAACGATGCTTTTCGTTTTCTATACCTAGCAATAAATAATTTTTAATTTAAATAATGTGATTATACTAAAAACCATTTCATACAATTTTAGAGATGGCCTATAAATACTGTACAGAAAATGGAAGTTGGGAAAATGTAACAAATTTTTTTGGACCAACAGATTATAGTAGCTGTTATACTCCAGAACTAACGGAAATGCTAGAAAAACTTGGATCAGACTACGATACAAAAGTAAAAATCATATAACTTGTATTTAATACTTAATAATAGGGTTATTGTTACTTGGTATTAAGTTATTTAAAGTTTATTTGTTTTTAAAGCGAAAACTTGACATAGCTCTTAACACTGGAGTGATTGAAGTCGTTGGGTGCCTTGTATCAATCATTTCATTGATCATATCACTATGCATTTTTATCAGGCACAAGTAAGTATAATATATAATTTTCTTATAGAATATCATATTTGTTGTAGTGTAAATTGAATATGATAATAAACACTCATATCTATAATATATGCCTAGGTATCATTAATGATAAAGATGCTAGTCTGATTAAAGTTTATACGTTACAATGCTGTTGGAAAATATTATATGTAGCCTTTTTACTCGCTTTATATATTATTTATTTTGGTGCTTCTATCACCACTCTAAGATGTAGGTACTACCATATTATATACGAGTATCTATTCTAACTGCGGAGGGGTGCAACCTTTTGTAGTTGGCAGGCCAATTTATACATTTATATAATATATTATTACATATATATATTTGGAGGCCTCCAAAAGAAAAATAATAATATTTTTTGTTATTTTATTTTATAATAATTAATAAACAACATGTTATCAGATTTCATATTAATATTTATTTAATAGGTATATAAATTATTATTAATATTTGTCGGTGATGTGACAACTGCTGACGTCTCCCACCGCTTTATTGTTGTTTATTTTTTTAAAAATATATTTACTAGGTACCTATTAAAAGGAGCCCAAAATAAAAAGACTTTTCTGTACTATATAGGTAATTATACTATTCAGAAACGACCCCTCCCCCCAGAACTGTGCTCTGGATTTGTGCCTGTAACTATTAACACAGGATTAGGAACCTCGAGTTATAGAAATCTAAGAGTGCTTCCCACATAATACAATAGAGTACCATTATAAAAAAGTAACTACCTATATAATCCTAAGTTGTTGCTTTGTAATGATGTACAAATTTGACACTATTTCCGCAGCAACAAGTTTCATGTTTTCAATTCGTTAAAACACGGTCGAGTTACTGGAAAATAATATGTGGTATACAAAATATGTATGTCATATATACCTGTCACATATACATCTACTCAGATTTTAAATCAACTTTGGTTAGGTAGCTGAATTTTAAAAAAACATAAAAATCACATAAAAATAATTTAGTTTTCTTTAAATAGGGCTAAGAGTTACTCATAAATGGTCTAGATGATGTCGCTGGCCTTCTATAACAATGAGCATCGTTTTCAATTTATATTTTAGGTGATTTTCTATCTTAAACTTTAAAATTGACCAGTTTTGGAAAAATTAAAAAAGTATAATTAACACTGAACCATATTATATACTACATAATAATAATATTATGACCCTTGGTATTAAATTACTAATCTATTGAGGTAGTGCTGGAACTTTACCAACTTTTCAACTGTTCTAAAATGTGTTAACCGAAAAAACGCATTAAAAAAACAAACATTGTAAAACTAATAATAGGTTTTTCACTTGACACTTTACTTTCAATGTTGTAAACTTTCAGCTCTCCACAAATTTATAGGTATTATACGATACACCTAAGGATTAAACATTAATATTATATTTTGAAAATTATAAAGTATTCTTTAAATAATATTAGCTGTTAATATTATAAATTATTTATAAGCAATAAACTACGTTTATATAGTCTTGAATTTAATATTCTTAATTATTAGTATAGGTCATTATTATTTTTATAAATTAAGTATTCAATTAACTCTTTTTATTAATGCGATTATTTAGTTCTGAATATTTTAATAATTGTTTAGTTGTTTAGTTGTATATTATCTTAAATTATATATACAAAAAAAATCGATTTTTATCTCACTACAGGGGTATATTGGAACAGAGGTTCAAGATACACATGAATTTATTTGTTGCTTTATCACTACAAATGTTCATCAAATTAATTTTGAACATTGATAAACTGGATTTATTCAAAACTAAAAAAGATCTATCGAATGTAACTTGTCTTGTGGATTGTAATAACCAGATCCGTTTAGTGAAAGATGATGACAATAATTGGTTTTTTGGAATTATGTACACGGTAAGTTTTAAAAATATACTGACAGTTGATACTTATTATTTAATTAAAATTATATCAATGGCGTGATGGTTTCTTTTAGCCAATCATTTGTGAAGGTAGTCAAGTCATATTGGAATGGTCTAAAACTGCCAGTTTTATGTGGATGTACAACGAAGGAGTATATCTGTATAGAATAATAAAATCTAGAGTCTTAAGAATAAATTCAATAAATTTTCGAATGTATCTATTTGGTTGGGGTTTACCAGCTTTGATGACTTCTGTATGGTTATTGGTAACAATGGTTTACTACAAAAAATCTTCTAGTGTCTGTTGGTGGGGCTACAGTTTGTTACCATTTTTTTGGATTCTTGAAGGACCCCGAATGATAATTCTCGTAGTAAGTTTAAATTTAATGAGTCGTTAGTAGCTCATTAGTCAACATGTATTATTAACTTGATCAAAATTTATTTTATTTTACACTTTTTTATACTAGGTAAATTTAATAATATTAATCATCGTATTGAGAGAGCTGTTGAAGAAAATTAAATCAAAATTATCACCGTCAAATGAGTTGGATATCATAAGGTACTAATATTTTTACACTTTAACTTATAACTTTAATATGATTAGACAAATTATCAATTTTTAAATGTCAACAACATTTTGCACAGGTTTTTTATATAGCTCTATATAATTCATTAAAAGAATCATTTAATCACATAATATTCAGGAAAGGAGCAATACCTGTTCACTTAACAATCAATTGAAAATGTACAACCATTATAGTACCGTTTTGCCGAAATATTTAGTATATAATATATACCTATTATATATAGGTAATTAAGTTTTGTATGAAATAATAATTATGAATAATAAAAAGGATTTGTAATTTCTACTCTTTAAATAAAACTTATTATTAAATAACTTAATTTTATTCTTGAAAATGTAAGCAATTCTTCAATAAACAAGGTTTTTTAAAAAATATTATATTTTATAATTTTAAAGTAGGTACCTACTACCAAACGCATTTAAGTTTACATAATTACTTAACTTATAATTTATATTTTACAATTATATTATCGGCAATAATTTTAATAATTTAGTTAATAGCAGTTAGCTATACAAATAGAATAATGAAGTTACTGCTTAGTGCTTACCTTTATAATATTAAAATATGACAATTATATTAAGAATAATTTCAAAGACAGAAAAAGACATTTAAAACGAAATTTTGTCATAATGCTTTATTTATTTTCTGTATATTAATGTTAATTTTGTTTTGTGTACTAGAAAAGTATCCAAAGCAGCCATAGCTCTTGTCCCTTTACTTGGAATTACAAACTTTATATTAGTTATAATACCTGAACCACATTCGAAAAGTCCTGAATTATTTGCTTTCTGGTCATATTCCGCACATATATTACACTCGTTCCAGGGCTTAATGGTGTCAATATTATATTGTTTTATGAATAAAGAAGTAAGTATTTTAAAACATAAGAAAAATAATAGGTACTTAACTAGGCTTAATATAACTCTATATTCTAGTAACAAATTTACACAATACCTAAATCATAATAAATAAGATTCACATTTAAAATATCTTTTAAACATAATTAATAAATAAATTATCGACTTGAAATTTCCATTTACTTTTAATATTATGTCCATTTATGTGATGTTGTATGTAATGCGTAGAACATAACTGGTTAAATATTTAAACTGTTTTTTGTATTCTGTATAATAGTTGTATACCTAATACTATAATCACATCATTGTCAAGCTACAAAGGGTTTCAAAACTGGCTATTTATTCAGGTGGAAAAATCAGTCAATTTATAGTTCTGTCATGAGGTGGTCATATGGAAAAAATAAAACCATATTAACGATAAAAAATGACTATACATGATAAACAATCATACCTAAGTACTTCGTAAAATAGTCGAATTTTGATAATTCAATCCAGATATTCCTGGTCAAATTGGACTTTGATTTTTTAGATTGTTGATGCCAGACAAATACTCGAATTTTTTTGATTACTTAGTGATTTTATTATTTTACAAGTATTTGTGATAAAAACGTGTTGACTTTCATGCCCTTAAGGTGCTCGGTGCCGATGCCATTTTGTCCTCAAAAACACACTCTTCGGGAATAATAATCGATCTCTGTTTTTCAATATTTTATTCTCAAACTATATAATATGTCTAAAAAAATACAAGATAAAAAGCATTTTTTTACAATTTTTTTAATACATTTTTTAATTTTACAATTATTTTGAATAAAATACAAAATCAGAGATCGATTCGGGCTGTAGGAAGTCTTCTTCTTTCAGATTAAAAAATAGTCATCAAAGTCCGAAAATTCTACAAAGTTTGGGAGTTATTCCCGTAAAGTAATTTTTTCGATATAATACACCCAATCAACCCCCCCCTAAATAGGTATCGGGTAGTAGATTAGTGGAAAAGTCTTGTAATTGAGGTGGAACTAAAATATAAAATTTTATAGATTTGTGGAAAATTTGAAAAACTGGCACCGGGACCCTTAAGACAAAACCAAAAGTGTAGTAAAACCTGATACCGAAATACATTTTAAATATAAATACAATTAAATTTCAGAATAAATAAGTTTGAAATATCACGATGCATACATACCATGTATACCATATTATACACATGGTACATATTAAGATGATTATAATTTTTAGGTTTCAAAATAGTATATGTCATAATTAATGGAATAAAAACGATATAAATCGTGAACGAAATATCTTCGTATTTGTATTATAGGCTATAGCTATAAGCTATACTGCGCTTCTGCGTACATACAGGCTGTATAAATATATGATCAGTTTATGTATTATTGTGGATATAATAGAATATAATAGAATAGAATATTTATTGATTATTGACTAAATCATGATCACTGTTTCAGATTAAAAAGTCTTTTGATAAACGAATGATGCTCCAAAAATCACGACGAGATTTTGAAATGGAAATGACATATAATTTATTTAAAACTTAGATAATCTATTATACATTTTTTTTTATAAATACAATGTAATTTTTTTTATAATTAATTGTTTATATTATATATTTGGTTTCTGGTGTTTAATTAACTGTTATGTGCACTATAAACTATCCATTAATTTAATGTAATATAATATAAAATAAAATGGTCAATAATAAATTCAGAATAGGAAATAAAATTTAAAATAAATGCTTATATTATAATATGGGTTGTACACAATTTATTGTGTTACATTAATTAAAATATTTTGTTTATAATTCAAGTTTTTTTTTTAAGTATTCAATCGATTGTATACCTAATTGTCCTAATTAATTAGTAATTATATTGCACTAAAATCAAATATTAAAAAAAAAATAATATTGTAATTTTATTTTAAGACAAAATTAAGTAATTAGCTATTGCAAATCTGTTAAGTATAAATAATTCAATAGATTTTTAATAAGAAGTTACGGCACTTTACATTTTATTAACTGAATTATTTACACTATACAGAAAGAATGGTATTTATAAATTTATTACTTATTAGTAGGTATAATATTTTGATACATTAATTGATTAATTGCTAAGCATAAGTATGACTTTAAAGTTTAAAAAGTACAATTTTGTTGGGAAGCTTCAATAAAAAAACAAAAACTCAATTCAGGTTCTTTATTTATTAAGTACCTATATCGATGTATTAAATATAGGTTTGGATAAATTAAAAAATGGTAATTATATTTATTACAATATTAATTTGTTATCAGGAATTAAAACCTTTTAAAAATGTTAACTATACGTCTAATGTTATTTAATATTTGTGTATATCATTGACAAGATATTATTTTTTACCTACCCTTATTTTTCTTTTGCGTTTAATATTATATTAATATGTAAGCTAACGAAAATCTGTTTTTTTTTTCACTTGCCAATCGCCATTATTATTCCTACTGTACGGTGCAGTGGCGTCCGCAGGTGGGGGGGGGGCTAACGGGCTGAAGCCCCCCAAACCATTTCCCGTATTATTATTAGTAATAATTAATTACTTTTTCAAAAAAATATTAATCAAGTTTGAACTATCAACTATAGTAAGCAAGACGTAAAATTCATATATGTCTTACCAGAATGAATTCATTTTTGAAAAAACATGGTATTTGCATACTAATTTTCATAAATTATCTGTAATTTTTCAGTAAAAGTATGAACTACTTGTATAAAAGGCCTTGTATTAAATTGTCTAGTCTTAGCTAAACATATTTAATATTTAATAAGTTTTGAACTACAAGTTAATTGTGGTTTTGACGAAATTTGAACTTTAAGTGCTTATAAAAGTCACTCTGCTGTACAGTAGATTACAAGTGGGTCACTGTAATGTGTAATGGATGGTTTTAAATTTGAATTATGATATAATATAATATTATGATTTAATGATATAATATCATTGTATAAGAAAAACGATTCTGAGCGAAAACTGTCAGTCAGCCTATGATATTACTAAGGGCCGCTTTCACCACTACTTTAAACTCCGATTAAAGTTAAACCGGTGTTTAATCGGCCGAATTTGCCGGGTTAAATATCTGTTATCAGTCGATTAAGCGTAATCGAAGTTTAAAGTATTTGGTGAAAGCGGCCCTAAGTATATTTGATGATATTATTGTGAATAAAGTAATTTATATATAACCTATTTACGTACAATCTTATTTTAAATTTTCAATCCTTAGCTATACATATATAAGTGGAACATTTTGTAAATTTTTAACCACAATATTATTATTACATTTTAAATGTGATACATTTTGTCAACATTCGAACTTTAAATACTTCTAAAAAAAATTGTGCCAATGTATTTTTAATATTTTTCATTTGCAGCTATTGTAACAATATATCAGGAGCCTTGCACTAAGAAAATTGAAAACCGAAAACCGCTCAAAAAGAGTCAAAATATTTTCAAATTTGTATGGTGTATAGAAAATGAAAATATAAACATTCAGTAAAATTTTGATGTATCTACAGTTATTCGTTTTTGAATAACAATAAAATTGTTAAACCGCTACATGAGAAATCTAGTGAATATCCAATGTTGTAAAAATTTGAATTTCAAACGCTCATAAAAATTTAATTTGACTTTCTTATAGACATTTTTTTTTTTTGATAAAGGTAGATAATCTTATAAGAAATCTTGTATTACATTTAAAACCTTAGATTTAAAAAGAAAAATTTTTATAATTCTGATATATAATTTTTAACTCAAAATAATTTGCTAATTTTCGTGATTTTTCCATATTTTGTCAATTTTTGAACTTTAAATGCTCAGAAAAAAAAACTGTGACTAAGGATTTTTAATATTTTTCAAATTCCATTTTAACAATATAGTATCAGCCTTGTATTAAATTTTCAAGCTTTTTTAACCAACAAATAACATTTTATTGATATTTTTAGAAAAAAAAAAACTAAAAAAAAATGGAAAATGAACATGTGTCTAAACAGTTCAAAATAAATCGAAACATTTTGAAAATGTTATTGTGTATAGAAATGCTAATTTATTTATTCAAAATGTCATCTCATTTGTTTAAGAGTTGACCCAAAAACCGAAATCGATTTTATCGAAAACAGATTTTGGTTTAAAAATTCCCGTTTTTCCTTAATTTTTATTTTGTTTTTCACGCCGCTTTTGAAAACTACTGGGAAATTTTGACACTTTTGACTCCCCAAAGTACTAACTAGATTCACTTTCCTATCAGAAAAGCTACTGTTGAAGAAAATCCAAGCACTTTTACTGTCCTAAAACGTGATGACAGACACAAAAAAAATTTAAAATTAAAAAAATTAAAAAAAAAAAAAAATCACACATCATTACATCAATACATTCATCGTTCCACTCAGAATCTAAAAATTTAAAAAAAAACACAACATTGTAAAACCAATACATTCATTGCTCCGTTCAGTCCAAAAGTAACTCGCACGCATAGAGGCCAAACACTGGGGGTGCTAAAATTATGTAGAGAACACAAACCCGCGGGGGCTACGCCCCCACACCCCAAAGTAACATACTTTGATTTTATAATTACTATAAACCATTCCTAAATGCACCATGAACATTGAACACATAAGGACACTAATATTTTAGTAAATCTGCAACAGTAATATACCTGATGAATACATGAGGTATATTATATTATTTAGGTGATAAAAATAGTAACCTGGAAGTATAAATAGATAAAAAAAAATTTGGTCAAGTGGGTACCGCTTTTCTGTACAATAGTTGTTGAGAATGTTGTTGTAGTGGATGTGTTATATTTGAATTCAATATGAAAAATGTTCTCATAAATAGCTATAAATAGTTCATAAAAAGTCAAGTGTTTAAAGAATTTACGATGTATGGAAAATGCTATTATAAATATTTGGTGAACATTTCAAGAATCTACGGTTATTCATTTTGGAGATACAACAAAATCCAAAAAATCGATTAATGGGAATTCGATTTACCGCTGAATATCGAATATCGTGACAATTATAAGTTCGAACACTCATAAAAAATTCAAGTTTAAGTATACGTTTTTTTTATAGGTAGACAAACTTATGTGAAATCTTTTATTAACATTTTTAATATTAGGCCTTAACTGTGAAAGGAAAATATTTTATGAATTGCTAACTGAAAAATAATTAAAAATATTTGAAAAATTTCTCAGTTATAAATACCTCAAAAAGAGTCAAAATTGTTTAAACATTTTACCATGTAAGGAAAATTTTAATTTTAACATTTGATAACAATTTCAAGTATCTAAGATTATTCGTTTTTAAATTACAACAAAATATCAAAAATTTATAGATGAAATTTCGTTAATATTCTGATAAAAATTGAAAATTGAATGTTGTACACATTTTAGATTCAAACGCTCATAAAAAATGTATGTTACTTTCCAGTAAACTTTTTTGTTTTGTTTAAGATAGTACCAATTGTGAGGAGTCTTCTATCAACATTTATAATGTAAGCTATGAAAGGAAAAAAAACTTTTATAAATTTCTAACTGAAAATTTCCAAAAAAAAATTGAAGTATTCTAAATTCTAATATTTGATATACCTATAATCATTACAAACAATAATTTGTGTTTCTGCTAAAAACGAAGAAATAAAAAAAAAACCTTAACTAAAGCTAAAAAACTATTTTTAGATTCTGAGTGAAACGATGAATGTATTGATTTTACAATGATGTGTGTTTTTTTATTTCTTTTGTTATTTTTTTATTTTTTTTTGTGTCTGTCATCCCGTTTTAGGACAGTAAAAGTGCTTGGATTTTCTTCATCAGTAGCTTTTCTGATAGGAAAGTGAATCTAGTTGGTACTTTGGGGGGTCAAAAGTATAAATTTTATTTGTTGGTTTCGAAAGCTTGAAAATTTAATAGAAGGCTCCTAATATATTGTTTCAAAGGCAGATGAAAAATATTAAAAATCCTTAGTCACAATTTTTTTTTATAAGCATTTAAAGTTCAAAAATTGACAAAATATGGGAAAATCACGAAAATTAGCAAATTATTTTGAGTTAAGAATTCGTAAAAATTTTTCTTTTATTCCACATCACCAATTTGGGTTCAGGGCTAAACACTCAACCACCCACCAACTCCTTCGTACTGTCGACTTAATATCTACTAGTATGGAATCCAAGCACTACTGTGCTGCCGTCCTGCTAGACGTGGCCCAAGCCTTCGACAGAGTGTGGCATGAGTGTGGCATACTCTATAAACTTAAAAAATTTCTCACTGCTCCATATTACCTTATTATCAAGTCTTATCTTGAAAATCGAACCTTCTCAGTTAGAGTGAACAACAGCTACTCGGTTAACTTTCCTATCTTGGCTGGCGTCCCCCAAGGAAGCGATATAGCGCCTTTCCTTTACACCATATTTACACATGACACTCCGAAAACTTTACTTACATCATTAGGCACATACGCCGACGATACAATAATCCTGGCCTCAAATGACAACCCTCAAACTGTGTCTGATAGGTTACAAAATCATCTAAACATGATCCAGATCTGGTCAAAAAAATGGAAAATAAAAATAAATGACTCCAAATCCTCCTTTATTACCTTTTCACTAAGACCTGGAGACTGCCCTCCAGTTTCATTCAATAATAACTTAATTCCATCAACCCCTGTAGTCAAATACCTGGGCCTAACGTTTGATAAACGACTCACCTGGGCTCAACACCTCAAAAACAAAAGGAAATCTGTAAACTCTAGACTTCACTTGCTCCGTCCACTTCTCCGCTCCAAACTAAACATCAGCAATAAATTGTTAATCTACAAAGCTATTTTAAGACCTGTATGGGCATACGGTATCCAGATATGGGGCTCCTCGAAACCCTCAAACCTACGAACTATACAAGCCTTCCAATCAATATGTCTCCGTCAAATCGCTTCTGCCCCTTGGTATATAAAAAACGCCAATCTTCACAAAGACTTAAACGTTCCCACACTTTCTCAGCTAACCAAATCCCACTTCCTCTCATTCCATTCTAAGCTTAATCACCATACTAATCCATTAATTAAACGTCTGTCTTCTTGTACAATTCCCGATAATCCTAGAAGAAGATTGAAACGATCTTGGCCTAGAGATTTCCTTGCTTGATCTGTCGGGTGGTACTACTGAGTACCTTCCCTCTCGGTAATTCAACGTTATTGTCAATCAAAAAAAATTACCTATTGTACATATGTTTGTATAGATTGTAATTATTCTTTTAATAAAAAAAAAAAAAAAAAAAAAAATCTAAGATTTGAAAACTAAACACAAGATTCCTTATAAGTTTGTCTACCTTTATCAAAAGAAAAATGTCTATAAGAAAGTCAAATTAAATTTTTATGAGCGTTTGAAATTCAAATTTTTACAACATTGAATATTCACTCGATTTCCCATGTAGCGATTTCCTTATTTTGTTGTAATTCAAAAACAAATAACTGTAGATAAATGAAAATTTCACTGAATGTTTATATTAGCATTTCCTATACACCATACAATTTTGAAAATATTTTGACTCTTTTTGAGCTGTTTATGGACCTTTACAGCTTTCAATTTTTTTTAGTTTTTTTTTCTATAAATATCAATAAAGTTTTATCTGTTGGGCCAAAAAGTGTAAAAATTTAATACAAGGCTCCTGATATATTGTTACAATATCAGTTGAAAAATATTAAAAATACATAGGCACAGTTTTTTTTTATAAGCATTTAAAGATCAAATTTTGACAAAATTTATCAAAATCTCGAAAATTATCAATCATATTGTAATTAATAAATTATAAAATGTTCAGTTTTTATAGCTAAGGATTGCAAATTCAACACAAAGGTTCTCGTAAATAGTTCATACTGTAACCAAAAAATCTAAAAAATATATGAACACAGTTATTTTTTACAGACATTTTAAATTCAAATTTGGACGAAATTACATATTAAAAAACCTAGAATAACTATTTTAGTTATTTTGTTGTGATTGAATAATATTATTCGTGGATACTTGAAACTTCTAAAGTGTACTATTATATATCTATGATAGTATCACGGTTTTTGTTGATGTATAACGCGTTATAAGCTCAGAATCGTTTTTCTTATACAATGATATTATATCGTTGAATTCAAATTTAATATCATACATTATACAGTGACCCACTTGTAACCAACTGTACAGCAGAGCGACACCCACTTACCCACCTCTTTTTCGATGATTTTTCAATTTTTGCTGTTTTTGAACTGGGGTACTAAATTAAAGTTTGGGGGTGCTGAAGCACCCCCAAGCACCCCCCTAGTTGCGCCTATGCTCGCACGTATAGACGTCTCAAAACGTCCCCCGAAATGTTTCATGCCATTAAATAGCTCAGAAAAGGTCAAAATATTTTTAAATGTTATTAGGTATGAAAAATTGTCATATAATTATTTGGTGAAAATTTAATAGGAACCTATACACAGTTATTCGTTTTTAGTTACTACAAAAAAACAAAATCGATTTTGTCGATAACTGGTTTACTATAAAAATTCAGGTTTTTTCTTTATTTTATTTCCCCGACGTTTATTTTGAAAACCATTGGAAGATTCACTTTTCTACCAGATGCTGAAATAGAAAATCGAAGCATTTTTACTGATAGACAGAAAAAACAACAGAATCATTGCAAGATCAATACATTTGTAATTCCATCGCTCTGCTCAAACTCTAAAAATGTTTGCATAAAAGTGCATATAGACACCACGTCATATCAAACGAAGATGGTGTGATTTCTTAATTTAATTAAAATCTAGTTCTATCAGTGGATAACCTCCCTCGTCAAATTTTTAATCCATCGTTATTCGTTACATAATATTGTGTACATATTTACATAAAATCAATGATAATATTTATTCTGTTATTGTAAAATAAATAAAATTGTAGGTTTTTGAATAAAAAAAAAAAACAATTATACCTATATGGCTATATGCAATATTATTTCGATGTCAAGAGAATATATTCATATTTCGGTATATTTCTACTTTACCGGGCACCCTTTTTTTTGCAATTTTTTTCTTGGAAACTTATGTAGTTAAGTACGCTGAAAACGATGGTGAAAACCGAATTTGGGGCACGGACTTAGTTTTGAAGTTATGGCCTAATGAAGTTCACTATTTCGCGATTTTTTTTTCACTTATTTTGATTGTGATTGTGCCGTGGCTGGCAGTTGTCCGAAAAATGATAAGGTGGTTGTACGTTGGTTAACCTGTGGTTACCCTGTGACCAACTTAAGGTGGTGTTGCACAGCAAGTCGGGGGATATTTTCGATTTGCGGAGCGGAGCGACGGCGCCGAGGAGCGTAGCGACGAGTGCCGCTAGCACGGCATCACTGTACGATGTCTTTCAACATAATTTAGTTTAGTTTTAATTTTAGTAATTATAATGTAGTGTTTAATTTAGTTTTAATATTTACCTATAGTTGCAAGTTTTTTTTTTTTTTTAGTTTGTTTTTCCCTGCACTTCCATTTGAATTTATCCAAAGACGCTTCTTCGCGTGTTAATGTCATTTTATGCCCTCTTATGCATTTCGGTGCATTATGTAATACACCAAAATTCTGGAGCATTTCTATTAATGCCAATCCTTCGTTTTGAAGAGACAGTTCTTTTAAGTCATATAAATTTAAACTCTTGACACTCATTGTAATATATTTTTAAAGAAAATGTAATTTAAGATATTAGAAAAAGTTTCTTATATAACAAGTGCAATACTGAAACGTTTTAGATATCTTTGTAATCTCATATTTAAATTGTTTTTGCTCAAAATACATTTATTATTTGTTATATTATCTTAATGAATGTCGTTAAGTTAAAAATAATTGGTATATAGTGGTGTTTTCGAAATAGTCGTAGTAAACTAGTGTGATGCGCGAATGCGTAAAAATCGCGAAATAGTGAACTTCATTAGGCCATAACTTCAAAACCAAGTTCGTGCCCCAAATTCGGTTTTCACCATCGTTTTCAGCGTACTTAACTACATAAGTTTCCAAAAAAAAAATTGCAAAAAAAAGGGTGCCCGGTAAAGTAGAAATGTTCCCATATTTCATATCAAATCATATTTTTTTAATATTTCACTAACTACAAATACCAAAAGGTAGTAGGTACCTACACAAAAATATTTCTTACGAGATTTTTTAGTACCTTTAATATTAGATTTCATGCTAGACTCTTGCTTAAAACAAAATATGCATATCACATCATATCATATATTAATAAATAATTTGTATGCACCTAGTTTACCTATGAAAAATCTTTTACAGCTTTAACTTAGGTACCCATCTGCAATCTACATATTATAGTAGGTACCTATCTACAATCTACGCTATAAGATTTAAATAATATAGAAAATAATAAAAGTGTATGAAGTAAATATATGAGAATATTTATTTAAAAATCTTGTAATAATGTTTTTAAGAAAACCACATTAAAATATAAAGTATAAATTAAGGTAGATTATCCCCCCTCTCCGACATTGAATAAATAAATACCAATATTTTATAAGTTTAACAAATTTTATCTCATATGGAAAATGGTAATATAAACATTTTGTGAAAATTTAAAGCATCTACGGTTATTCGCTTTTGTGTTACTACAAAAAAAAAAATCGATTTTGTCAAAAATTGGGTTTGCTTAAAAATTCATCATGTTTTTCTTTATTTTTAATTTGATTAAAAGTGAATAACATACCTTCTATTTTCAAATCTTTTAGATTATCAGCTACTTTTGGAAAACTCTGATTTCGTTGATTTTGGATGGTTTTTTTTATTGATTTTTGTTTGGGAAGTTCTTCAAGAATACTTCCTGAAAGACTCGTTACAGGTTCTGAAAATAACTGTTCAGACGTAGATTTTAATACTTTAACTTGTGTTTTAAGTTGCATCTTAATTTTTGCATGGACGAATGAAATATCGCATGGAAGATCAATTTTAATTAAATGCTTTTTATCCAGGGAAGTTTTTAACATTATTATTTGTGGAGACATAGCAATATTATTATTGTGTATAATATAGTTATCAAATCGTGTGTTATTTTTTCCCGCTTTTTTTGATGTATAAATCGCAAAATCGATTTTTCTTGAGATACGACATATTACTCGCCCATCGACGATATACGTATACCTACAGGCTACAGGTGTGTTATACATTTTACTATACTCAATAACATAATTCCAATATTTAGATTGATTCGCAAAATCTCAAAAGGGGTTATTTTTTTCGGAGACTAATTTTCCGGGGTTATTTTTTCTCGGTACTATATGCATAACCCGCTGATAATATAAAACATGATATTCATAGTCCTTTTATATCACTGCTGATGCTGAAGAAGTAATATAATATAATATAATAATATAGAATATAATTATACCTATTATATAAATAAATTGAAAAAAAGAAAAGAAGACTGTTTTATGTACCTATTACCACTGATTATAAATAGTACAATATAATACTATTACCCAAACCTACGTTTCCTCCACGGACGGAGTTAGTGGTTTCATCTTTCATCACAAGTCACAACCCATACATAGGTAGTTTATAACATGACGTTATAAAAAAAATTTCGTACCTACGATAATAAATCGATAGTTATCGGAGATAATAAGCTAAATTTATACACTATTATATGGAAGGTAAATTATTATTAACGATAAGATTATAAGAAATATATTTTGGTGCATATACCAATTACCAACTTCGAATTGATGACGAGCGTAAATCTTCGGATTTTCATATTATGTTGACAGCTAGTTTTCAATAAAATGTTACTACGAATTAACCAGTGTACTTAAATGCATTGTTTTTATTCGAATTACCGCTACATTTTTAAGGGAACGAGAATTTTCTTTGAATAACCGAAAGTTTCGAATTATCGTGGTCGACTAGCTGTATCATTATATATAATATTTATACGCCACTGAGAGGGCCACAATCAAATAGATTTCATTATTCAAGCCAAAACACATTACCGTAAATGGATATATTAATTGTTCTACTACAGATTATATGAAAATAATATAATCTGTGGTTCTACTAAAGACTTGTATAATACATAAATTAATATTAAAATTTTATTTATTTTGACAAAAACCATTTCAAATTTTCCAGTCACCACTTTTTCCATGAAACATTTGTTCCAATGGTCATTTGTTCCATACTTTTTTTGGAACAAATGTTTTGTGGAACATGTTCATAGCCAGTTATAATAATAAACAGTAATGATAATAAATAATAATAGTCAAATAATAATTATCATAATAAATAATTTACAAATTGATAACATAATAATGTTTTAATATTTATGACCATGATGAAATTAGTAGATTGTATCGATTGAATAATATTTCAATTCGCGTATAGTTTATCTTTACGTAGAATAATTCACAATCAAAACCGAAACATCATAATAATAACAATATTATAGTTCTATTCCGTTTCACCTTCATTCAAACCATATAAAAAAAATTCCACCGTCGTTATTTTACTTCAAACGGTCGGGTTACATTCGCAGACGTCGCCATGGCTGTAATGCACGAGTCCATTGACGATCCACAGTTGGTGGCGGCCGCCAACGTGTTCGTAGATGACATAATCGAGACCGCCAAAGTCGAAGCAGCCCAACGAACCATGGTACCTAAGACTTTCGTTACTATCCGCTGTTAAGTATTACAATAATAATGCTCGAGTACCTTTAATAACCGAGTCCCTGACTGGAATACTACTGATATTGTGATGATGATATACGATCGTCGATCGATGTTTCGTCCAGAAATAGTTAGGTACATGTGTTGAGTTTCCCCGAGTTATATGCATCCTACTTCGTATGGTCGCCATTTATTCAAAATTATTATCCGGTATACTGTAATGACTACAATGACTACTCGTGCCGAATAAAGAAAGGTCTTAAGACTAACAGAAGTAACTGGTTTGGTGATGCACCTTAGTACTAAACCAGTAGCCACCTTATTGACATACCGTATTATCTATTTTCAATAATAATACTATTAGGGGGGGGGGGTATGGACTTAGGTAGGTAGAGAGGATGAAGCTTATAAAAAGCTTTATTAGATATTTTGAAACCTTAAAACTACTGTTCTGTTTACATGTCATAAGCCTTTTCAAGCTGCATTCAAGTGTTAACATTGTGGTTTCTATATGCTTTGAAAGATCTAGAATGTTTTCATTTAATTTCTTGAGGTGTTGTGGAGCAATCGATTTCGAGTATTGTTTTTTGATTATTTTTTAGCATTGTTGTTCTACACAAGTCCCTCTTGTGTCCATAACATTTGATGATATTCTTTTAAATAATAGAAAATAGTAGAGTATTAAAAATACATAATAGACTTTAACTGGATATGGTTTGACCAGTATAACCAGTATGAATAATCATATAATGCCATAATGTATGCTATGAACATTATATTTAAAATAAAATTTAAACCATCTATGGCAAATATAATACATAATAAGAATATTTGATTTTAATAGGTTTGATTAGAAAAGTATAAACTATTTAGCTACATTATTTTAATTTTGATTTATAAAGTTAGTATAAATGACCTATTTCAGCGTATTTTTTCTAAAATTAATAAAGCATTGATTAAAAAGAGTTGATCCATGGTAAATTTATAAATGACAATTTGTCAAATAAGTTTTAATCAGGAAAAACATTAAAATTGAAAATTATTTTCAAAACTCAAAGGATTGATGTAAACCGAAAAAAAAACATATTCGCAATATTGTTTTTTTTCTAGTGAGGAAGGATATAGCATTTACTTGTTGGATTGTGATATGGTTCAAAGTTTTCATAGATTTTTGAGAAGCTTGTGTCTAAATTTAAAATTTGTTATTTATTATTCATACACATATAAAATATAAATATTTAAAGTTAAAATTTGCTAGTTTGCTTTGTTATTTACTAAACTTTATCAAATTTTATTTTATTTTCAGACCAAATGCAATGGAGGATCTCATTTATGTAAGATCAAAATGTTGATTTCTTTATATAATTGAAAGATATTTACTAATTTGGTTTATTGTTTTGTAGTTGAATCAAATATAAAGAAAATTAATGAATGGCAGAATCGAGCTAAAGGTGTGTTTAGACGTTTCATGACAACCATATGTGTAAGATTTCAAGATCTTACCTCCAAATAATGCAAATAATAATAAATTGGAAAAAAATGGTTAACAATAATTTCTTTAAATTAGTTGGACTTATGAAGTCTCCATAAAGTTACCTACTATATTAAACACAATATACAAATTATAATTATCTACAAAAATATATTAATAAATAATAATCATAATTTAAGTGCCATTCAAAAATATTTTAGCAATAAACAATTAACAAGCATCTGTTTCATTACCATAAATACTGTGAACCTAGTATTTAAGTATATTATAATATTGGTGCAACATATATTAATTATTATTTATTTTATTGTTTAAGTTAAAGAAAAAAATCATGATGCACACATAAATAATAATTATAATTTAACATGTATTTAATCTACCTATATAATCTTAAGGAAAATTTTCATTCCAATTCCATAGATTCAGACTAAAAGTTAAATTCCTTTGTTTGTGATGTTTGTAATGTTTGTGAACATTTATTGATATTTAAGTATTATTTATATGTAAAATATGTCACAGTTAAAGTATGAATTCCTATTGGTTAAAAGTCTAACTAAGTTTTATTAACTGCTTATCATAGTATAGACATAATACAATTCCACACTTATATCAATTAACTTTTGTCCTAGTAGGTTATATAAATGAGTTATCTAATTTCAAGCTTGATTAAAATTGTTTTTTTTTTCTAATAAATGCACAATCTATTTCATACCTAAGGGCTAAGACAATAATTGTTGATTAAACAACAAGATATTGACTAATAAAAGAAAGCAATTATCATCAATTTAACCATAATTCATACTTTTATATAATAATATGACATATACATAACTCCATGGGGCCATGTATTATGTTGTGATTAACATTGTACTATTGAACTGGTCACATAATAATTGAAACTCAAATACTCGAATATTAATAAAGTTACGTTTTCACTTCTTAAATTTTTATATTAATAATAATACATTTTTAAACCTCAAGTTTATTTCAAAATTGACTGTTTGATTAAATCTTGAATCTATGAAATTTTAACCATGATTAATAATTTATATTGAGCCTAAAAGACAAAACTTTCTGTTTAGTGTTATATTTTTTAAGTTGTACAACACATACTGTATTATTCATTATAAATTATGTAACATAAAGTTACCTTATCCTATAACCCTTAACTTAAGTCAATTATGTTAATTTTTATTATTTTACTTTGACAATCAAAATTAATGTATTAATATCTTGAAATATATTATGATTTCTGTGTCAATGCGTACAGTATTTTTATTTTACATTTTTTTTTAGTTACAATATTTGCATAACTTACTGACAATTTAATTGTTACTGCTTCAACCTAAAATATTAAAAAATAATTATTAAATTAAAACCGTGTTATGATATCATTAATCTTATAAACTTATTGTAAACAGTAAAAGTGTGTGTACTATAATATAATAATATACATTTCCAATTGTAGAGCATTTATCAATAATATAAATTATAAATAATATTAATAAGAAGATATAAAATAGAATATCTAGATTAGTAATTATAATTTATATTTATTATTATTATTATTATTTAGTTTCTTATTTATTCCTTTCAGAATAATTATTGTTTTCCTCTCATGTTAAATGTGTTGTTTCATTGTAATGTTGTTTGTACCTTTATTTTTATTTTATTAGTTGAATACCATATGGCATATCAACCACTTATAGTCTATATTGTACTCTAAATACGGTCTAGTTTTATTTATTAGTACATTTTTGTAGAATAGTAAGTAGACATAATAAATATTGAAAAAAAAACTTTATATCATTGTTTTATGTCCTAAACTCCTGATGTATTATCAAACTAGATCAAACCTTTATTGTATTTACAATACAGAATTGAAAACCCACTTTTCTTTGCATGTTTTTAAAAAATCTTAAATTTTAATGTAAATCAACATTTTAACTAGATAATTATTATTTAGGCTTAATTATAAGTGAGTGGACTTGATATTTAATAATTAATATTAAAAAAATTATTCATTAACTGCAATCAATTATCTTTAGTTTTGCTCGACCTATAAAACAAGAAAAACTAGCATAATTACTAGATATTAGTATATTACAGATAATTACTTTTTTCTCACTACAGATCTTGTTGCAAATTGAAAAGAAAATGTATAGCCGTATAGGTACACATTAGTGTCATCACTGTCTGATTACAACTGAGTACTTACTTTATATTAAATAATTTAGCTGATTTATGATTCACCCTAGTTATTTTACTCTTCGTTATGTGTGAAACTATAACATAATCCTGAATCATATCTATAAAAACTTCTAATATTTTCGTAATGCATGATTCAATGTTGAAACTAATCAATAGCGTTAACTAAATGATTGTTTGGATAAACATAAAATGTAAATTTTTTGATTTGTTACTCAACAAAACAGATATTTGAAAAAATATAACTAATCAATAATTATTTATCAATTATTACAAAACGCATACCATTTTACGCTTAAAGTAAGTACAAAAAAAGCACTTTAATATCAAAATACCTATTAAATTGTGACCATAAATGAAGAGGCTGTGTGAAATGATCTGTCACTCATGCCTTTATGTTATCAAAGAAGGACATGATGAGAAATGATTTCTATATTATTCATTAAAGAAAGGAGATTAATATAACAACATTAAAATAGAATTGTACATAATATTAATATTATTATTAATATATAAAAAAACAGAAAAAACTACATTTTCACAGTAAATCAATGTTTGTTTTACATAATAATTGTACAATGAAAAAAAATAATAAGATTTTACATTGTGAAGTTCCAATGTATGTACATACTAAAATTAACAACTCTTGATGAGATTTAATACTTAAATTCCTTTAGAGAAAAAAAAGTCCTGCTGATCTCTTCCCTTAATGTTATTGACTACTTTCATTTAAAATTATTTTTATTATCTTTAAATTTCGTCAGTTTGAAACATTAATTATAAAATCAATACTTGTTACAATAGCTAAGTGTTTGTGTATTATTGCATATTATAATATAAAACATATTCCTTGACAATACATATAAAACTTAAAAAGGCATAAAATTAAAAAATAATAATTCACATATTCAACATCCAGACTGAAGATTCATTGTAGAAATTGTTTTTGTAATCATGGGGGTTGTGTTCAGACTTTTGTAAATGCCAACTTTGAATGTTTCCAGTAACAGAGATAATGCCATTTCTAAAAATAATTTAATCATGAATACAAAGTATTTTTTATAATAAAATATAGAGATTAGAGGGGAATTCAACAAGCACCCCCCCCCCCACAATTAATTCCTTCAAAATCTGATTTTTGGAATTTTTAAATATACTTAATGACTAGGGCTCGGATTTCAATGCATTTGCATCTTTTTTTTGGGATATCTTACGCGATGCTTTCCAAGCTACAAATATGTTTCAAGTACTTCGCAATCTAACCATAATAATTTTTTGGGGCATTTTTTTTGCTTTTTTTGCATTTTTAGCGGATTTCATCATTTTTAGGGCATTTTTTGACAGTTTCAATGCATTTTTTAATTTTTTAGGACATTTTTGACCTATTTGTCGTATTATGACTAAAAAAATTGACCTCATTGAAATATAAGTACTACATAGTAATATAGTACTACGTAATAAAAATTATTTTCATTTTGAACTATTTTAACTAATTTAACATCAGGTTTTCCGGTTTTTACAACCTTTATGTCACACCATCCAATTAGCCGATATTATCGGATTATTTTCTTATCGAGCGATAATATTATATCGGTGGTGCGCGTGGCCGATTGTCGGACGCTTTCAGTCGTGTTGCGTATTACGTCGAAGGTACCTACTTACTGCAGGTGTATTTTACATGTTACATATTATTTTACGTATATTATTTAATTCGCATTTTATATTTGTATAAACGAAAATTGAAATGCCTAAAGTAAAGATTTCAATATATAAAAACTTATTGGCAGACAACCGTCGATCATTTAAATTCCAAAACATTAAAGAAATTCTTATTGTACAATGCAATGCAAATATAATTTAATTTTTAATTTTAATTTTTTTTTGTTCATTGTAATATAATTTATTAATTTATAATTTATAACTTTTATTAGAATTTTATTTGTTCCTCATTTTTTAATAATAATGCATTTTTTGATATTTTTAGGGCATTTTTTAGAGTTTTTAGGTCATAAATGCATTTTTTGAAAGGGCATTTTTTTGATATTTTTAGGGCATTTAAATCCGAGCCCTATTAATGACCATATTTTCAAATTCTTGAAATTTTTTTACCACTCAAGGAATGTCCTGTGGAGATGGAGATATTTACTTCATGTTTTTAGAATGAGAACCCAAAAGCAGGTTTCTATTGTAAATTATTTAGTGAATAATTGTGATGTATCAAAATTTGAACGATTAGTTTTTGAGTTAATTTATTTTGAGTACTTAGGATAATAGGTCCATGATAGAGGATATGAATCTTAGAAATTTATATTAATTAATAAATTTATAATTTGGAAAAATAGTCAAAATATAATAATCACTAGAATACTAGATCCATTATAATATTTATTTTATATTTTTGTGTGACATATGATTGTATTTTCGGTCTATCCTAAGTAAAAACATTATATTAACTGAAAAGTTGTGAGTTCAAATTTTGAATTAAGTACAAAAAAAACAATTATCCACTGAAAACGTACAGTAATAACTAAAAAGTATCAAGAATTTGAACAAATCTATTATTAAATGAAAATATAGTGGTGAGCATAACTGACTGGTGAATCACATAAAATATGTGATTGATAATTTTCATGATTATCAATTGAAAATTAAAAATTAAAAGCAAGACATGGGTAGATAAGAAAATTTATAAAGTTTGTTTAAATTATAATTAAAATATAGCATGCAAGCGCCACCCAAAAATTGATATGAAAAGAAATGTGAAATAAATTATAATTATTAATAATTTACCTCTCGACATTGATAATGAATCA